TTCCTGCTCCTATGATGCTGCTTGGCCTTCCATAATTCTTTCTTTCTTTCTTTCTTCAAAAAGAGGTCTCATTAGTTGTTGTGATATTGTCGACTCCGAATATCAAAACTTTTAAATAAGTTAAAACAACACTGCTTGAGTAACGATTGCAGCAAGAGCAGAATTTTGACTCCACACTATCAAATCTAAGTTGGGAGACAGCTGGAGAATTGTGCTCAGTCGAGGTACCACAGCTTTGGAGTACGGAACAGGTTGACCAGACTGTTACAAGGAATTAAGTTGCAAGGGGAGATTACACTATACTAAATGCCTGGAATTTAGATCATTAAGGGCGGCGTTGATCCAAGTTTTCAATAAGACCAATGAGATGTAGGTGCAGCACTGGGTCATTTGGCCAATCAAGTTTTCTCTGTCACCCAATGAGATCATGGCCGATCCAAAAATACTCAACTCCACTTTCCTGCCTATTCCTCGTAATCCTCTATTCCCTTACCGATTAAAATCTATCCAAGCCTTGTTTATGTTAATGATCTAGCCTCAACTGCTCTCTGTGCTAAGTAACTCCGCAGATTCGCTACCAGAGATAAGAAATCCCTGCTCAGCTCTATTAAATGAGCAACACCTTATTCTGAGACAATGAGTAAGACAGGTAGAGAACAATTATGTTTGCTGATTGGGGAAGCCCCAAGTAAAAGTTGGAGCCAGGTTTTACAGGAGTGAAGGTCAGCACACACCTACATGCAAAAGGGTGGGAGACTTTGTCACAGTCATCCACAAATGGCAACTGATTCAAGACCAATTACTGATTACAATCAAAGGATGCTAAATTACTCCATTAAGAAATGGGTCAAAAGGTAAGTTACAAGTTGTTATGTCACAGGTGAACCATGGATTCAGGGATCAAGAGATCCGGGGAATGGGCAGAAAAGTGGGAAGTTTATGAATCATGATTGGCACAGCAGACTAGACAGGTTGTCGGACCTTCTCCTGGTTGTATTTCATCTCATTAAAATGATTTAATAGACCGGAGGGGTTAAATATCCTCCTCCTGTCTGTATTTGGCAGCAATTACTCCTCCACACTTCATGTGAAATTGGTTATGCTGCAATTTCACCCTCCCTGTTAAGAGTTGGGAAGATTGAGGCCACTGCATTGATAGTGTCACATTAAACAATGAGAATTGAGGTCCAGTATTTACCCTGCATCCCTATTCACACAAAGAAGGCACCTCCAGAATTTTTGGCTATCATCTTTGGCTCGCGGCAGAGACCTTTGTAACTGATTCCATTTCTTTCCTTCGGGTCACAGTTGAATCAGATTGCTCAAAAAGTTGCTATCCTATTAAAAGCTTGGCATGTACTCGCAATCACAAAACCTCTCCATCACTTATTTCCATCTCCATTATCCTCCAACATTGCACCAAGCCCATGAGCTGCCATAACGATTAATTGCTGACCCTAACCTCCAAACCAGACGATTACATACTGACCTCCATCCTCCAATGGAAGCTTTAACTCACCTGTAACCCTGTTTCCCTAGCTGCAATGTTATATTCTTCCAACATTCCTGATAAAGCACACCTCAGCACTCCTGAACCTCTGACTCTCCAAAACTTGGCTCTCAGTCCTCAACGCTGACAACTTAAAATTCTCTTCCTTTCATATTTAAAACATCCTTGTCCTTCTCACTCACTCTGATAACATCCTTTCACCCTCATTGCCAATTCTGGCATCTTCACTTCACAGTAACAAGAACAGCTTGTAGTATTGTACTATTTTGAAATAGCAATTTACATTGTGTTCACTTGTAGCTGTCCTACATAATTATATTAAAGTATCAGTAGATGAAACTATAAGAACCAGTGTAATTGTTGAAATAAAACAGCCATCGTTACATTCTGACTTCTGTCACACTGTTTCTAACTCACCTTAGAGCAAGAGCTTTACAAGCCATGATTTCCAAAATCTAAGTCACACAATCTGTGAAACCTTCTCGCTACCTGCCATCCCAACTTCAGATTTGGTTCTTCTCAAAGTCCCCTCTACTGTGGCAAGGGTGTAAAGCAATATTCAGTCAAAACGGACAGATGGAATTGCAACACTGGTGGGGAACAGACTCAAGGGGTTGAATGACTTATACACATTTCTACAGTTATATACAAAAGCAAGCCCACCCTCTAGTCACAGCTCCTGGAAACATACAAAGCCACATGTTGGTCAAATTGGAAACAAACATTCCCACAATGGATCCCACTTTCATTCTCATGGTACTTACGGTTTTCCTGCCGTCGCTGCAGATAGGCTCCCGGGGAGTCCAGGACCTCGTTTGTGAGAGTGAGGCTCAAACCCAGCCTAGACACACCAAAAAACAAAATCAGTGTAAAGACAAGAAAGAACCAGGACGCTTTAAATTAGAAAATACGAACCAGTTTATTTCTGCTTTTAAAAGTAAAACGACTGTAAGGTTTCATTGAAAGGAAATTACTGAAATTCTGCTTTTTTGGGTGTGAACAATAACCGCAGGAGTGGTTGACAAACAATGGAATTTTTGATGGGTAAAGTCTTAATCCTTTCTCCATTACATATTAACACAGATTATTTATGCACAAAACATCATTTGGTGCTAAATTTCTCCTCTGCCTTCCTTCTAGTGTGATCAACTACTCAGGCATTCTCTTGGGCAGCTTCCCATCTGGTATTTAAGCTTATCCAATACTCATTCTTGTATCCCAATGTATATCAGGTTGTGCCCACTCACTTCCCTTGTACTTGATGACCTAAATTGGCTCCCAACAGCTTCATTTAAAAATTCTGATCCCGGTTTACAAATCCGTCAATGGCCTCATCCTGTCCCATCATTGTAACTTCCTCCAATCCTACAGCGACCTCCAAGCCCCTCCAATTCTGACCTCTTCAGATTTTAACCGCTCCTCCATTGCCTTTAGATTCCAAGTTCTGGAAATCCAAACCCCTCTGCTTCCCAAAATTTCTCGACTCCCCTCTCTCCTTGCAGCCTCCCACTTTGTCCAAGGTTTTGATTACCCATTTTAATATCTCAGACAACCATACAATTATACAGCACAGAAACAGACCCTTCAGTCCAACTAGTCCATGCCGACCATGTACCCAAAACTAAACTAATCTCACCTGCCTGTCCCTGGCCCATATCCCTCCAAACTGTTCCTATTCATGTACTTATCCAAATGGCTTTTAAAATGTAACTCTACTCGCATCCACCACTTCCTCTGGATGTTCATTCCACACAGACATACTCTCTGTAAAATAGTTGCCCCTCATGTCTTTTCTAAATCTTTCTCGTCTCACCTTAAAAATATGCCCCCTATTTTTGAAATCCCCCACTCTAGGGAAAGGGCATCTGCCATTCACCTTCTCTATCGCCCTCATGATTTTATAAACCTCTATAAAGGTCACTCCTCAACCTCCTACACGCCAGTGAAAAAAAAAGCCCCAGCCTACTTTCATAACTCAAACCCTCTATTCCTCGTAACATCCTGGTAAACCTTTTGTGAACCCTCTCCAATTTAATAATAATATCCTTCCTGTAGCACGACCACCAGAACTGGACACAGTACTCCAGAAGGGGCCTCACCAATGTACTATACACCCTCAACATAACATCCCAAGCCCTATACTCAAAGACAGCAACACAAGTTGCTGGAAAAGTTCAGCAGGTCTGGCAGCCCCCATCTGTGAAGAGAAATTAGAGTTAACGTTTTGGGTCGAGTGACCCTTCCTCAAAATTCCACCCAATCCAAAACATTAATTCTGATTTCTCTCCACAGTTGTTGCTAGACCTCCTGAGCTTTTCCAGCAACTTCTGCTTTTGTCTCTGATTTGCAGCACCCGCAGTTCTTCCGGTTCTTGTACTCAAAGGTCTGAATAATCTCCTTGCATGGTTCAATGTTGAATTTTGATTGCTAAGCACTCCAGTGAAGTGAAATGGGAGGTTTTGCGACACCGAAGATGCTACCGAAATGCAGGCTGAGTCCACATTTACCAACAGAACAAAGATCCTACAATTTGCCTTGTCACTTAACACCAGCCAAAACATACAACTGCTCACAGGTTTAGCACGACTCAGTTTTCTTTGAAGCCACAGCTATTAAATACTGGAGGCAGTTACAAAACTGTGTCTGAACATGAAAACAAGATTCGATTAATTATCAGAGCTCACAAGTCAACATTTAATGCCTCTCACCCCAACCCCATGTCCCTGCATTTTGATTCATGTCTAAAAGGAAATGAAACATAGAATATTCTGAGTTCTCCTGCATTGAGGAAGCTGCCTAGCAGTGTAAATACATCACTTAAACGACTTCAGGTACAGATACAGAAGATTATGACAAAGGAGTAATCAATTTCATCAAATCAAAAACACAAATCAAGATCTTTCCTGAAATATGCTGGTCCTTCAGTGTCAAAGGTCCCAAGTGGTGGAGGGCCTATAGAAGACGACTGCTTTAAATATCAAATTAATTGGCAATCTCACTCCAGAGACTTCAATAATGCTGGAAAAGGAAATGATCCCTTTAAAACAGGAAGAGCTGAGCTTTTTAATGTTTGTCAGCTATAAAATGAGGATGTCAGCAAACCTCAAGAGGTAATAAAGTAAGTTATTTAAAGACAAGCTCCTATTAATTTGCATTCCTCAATGTCTGCTAAAACAAACAGCTCTTGGGTTTTCAAATTTCAGATTGAGATTCATTGGTCAATGAAGCAAAGGCCTGTATTAAATCTCCAGGTCCACATACTCCAAAGATATACCAGTGAACAAATACTAGAAGCAACATTAGGACCAGTCCTAGGTTCTGGCCTTGGAGTGTATTGACCTGGGGTGTTGATACAGTATGGAGCTGGAAAAACACAGCAGGTCAGGCAGCATCAGAGGGGCAGGAAAGTCAACATTTCGGGTCGGGACCCTTCATCAGTCTGCACAAGGAAGAAAATTAAAGTGCAAATGTTCTGTGGGATATTAATCTCTCCCTCTCCCTTTCTTCTAGTAGCACTGATTATGCACAATACATTTCAAGGATGTGAACTTTGCCTTTTAAGAACAGTCTGGAGAATATAACACAAAAGCGCAGCTTACCACAGATGAGCGTCCAAATGTGGAGGCCGTGGCTCCACCATTGAGTTGGGGGGAAGCAAAGTGTAAACCTGCATATGCATTGGCACCAGCAATCCCCCCATTGACTGCAGTGTGGACCATTCCGAATGGAACAGGGAAAGCACCCTGTACTGACAGGGGTGTTTTTAACCCTAAGGCTAAAAGGAAAGAAAAGTGCAAAATTAAGTTTTGTACTGTTACCTCAACCAACATGTACTAAACGCCATTCCTTCACTCTCACTAGCTCAAAATCCAGGAACTCCCTTCCCAACAGGTCTCTCTATGCCCAGCAGACTGCAGCAGTTCAAGAAGATTTCTTGCCATTGCCGTTTCAAGGGCAGTTAGCGATGGGCAATAAATACTGGCCCAGCAGCAAATCTTTGATTTATTTCAGAACATTATTAATCCAAAAAGCAAATTACAAAGAATGTGTTGTCTGTGGTATTATAGGGACATTAAAACAAAAACAAATGATCTAATCTCTACAAATCTAATTCAATTTAAATGGTTAATCTTTAAGAACACAAGAAAGGAGAGCAGGAGCAGGTCATATGGTCACATTGAGCCCACTTCACCTGCTGACAATATCAACCTGACTGATCTTCACTGAATCCACCTTGGAACCTGATTCCCCCACCCCTCTGAGAGCTAGTGCAACACTATTTGCAAAAGGGCAGTTTCAAAACCCACCACGAGGATTACACAACAGGAGGAAGTGACTCCTCAAGGGGGAAATAATATTTACAACAAAGTTGATGTTAGCAAACAGCAGAAGAGTGGAGTTAATTGGATATCTCTTAGAAAAGCCAGCACCTGGTATAACAGACTGTATATTCCAACAGTGCAGCCATTAAAAGTAACTGTTTTAGTGCTACTCAGTGAACCTTGCATGGGGAGAACTATCTTTACATAAATGGAAACTATGGAGAGCTTTGCAGAACCACCATATAGTGTGATTCAGATTCATTTCACTTGGTTCTCACATGGGTAGAAGGTTGGCTGGTAAGGCAAAAGGGGAAATGGGTTTCCAACAGGGACCAATGACAATGGTTCCTCTGATATTGCCAATGGCACAAACCACCCAAGAGAAAAACTGGCTGCCCACGCAACAATCCCTTCAAGAATGTGCAGAGATTTGAAAAGAGACCATGCAGCTCATCAAACAAGTCTTGTGTATCAAAGGACGGTGAGAGGGACACAGAACAAGGGCAATCGTGAGTTGGCCGAATGATATGGGTTTTACCTCAAGCAGGATAACTTTATCTGAAATGGCAACACTTTTATTATCCCTGGTAACATAAGAAACTCGGCATGGCTAAGGTGACAATAGAGGATCCAAGAGATATTTCTTACAGCTGGCTATTACACGCAGTTACTACATCCACAGGCACATCAGTGTCTGGGGCCCACATTAAGCTATTCAGTGACATGTCATGCTTCAAGTGACCAGAATTAAGATGGAGTTTGACATCCTTATGCTCTTGGGTCACATGTTACGATACAATGATAATAGCACAAGCATGTCTTTTAAAGGTATACTGACACAGACTGTGAGACTTCAAAGAGGCAGAGGTCTAGATGGATAGATCCTGATCTCCAATTCTGACAGCAGTTACAAGGAACACATCAAGTCTTTGGAACATATTTAGAAGCTCTTACGTTTCACACCCTTAATTCAAAGTAAGGCCTTTGTAGCTACAGACCTTCTATTTAAAATCTACCATAGGCATAGCTTCAGCAAATAGTAAAAAGTTACCTAAAGGATCAGCCCCTGTTTTACTCGAAGCTGAGCAGAGCTGTGACGTCCCACTAGTGCCTGGGGTTGCAGAATCCCCCCTTGATGATGATATATTCGACTTCAGGCTAGGCGTACTGGATTTCTCATTCTAGAATCAGGAACATAAACAGCAGCTAGATAGTTAATAAACTGAACCTGGTACTTATTTCACATCAATCATGACCACAGCACCATTACATCTTCACCTTTTATAATAGGCTTCTATCTAGCTGCACTCAGGGGGTAACGAGCGACACATTCTGCTCCCAGTGCTGTTGCCGCTAAGACTGAACGATCAGAGAATGATGGATTAATGAAACAAAGAACTGCAGATGCTGGAGACCTGAAACAAACACAGAAACAGCTGGAGAAACTCAGTGGGAAGAAAGCAGAGTCAATGTTTCAAGTTCAGTGACTCTATCAGAACCATGACCCGAAACGTTAACTCTGCTTTCTTCCCACAGATGCTGCCAGACCTGCTGAGCTTCTCCAGCAAATGAGGGGATATGGGTTTGAGCAATAAAGAGTGAGAGAGCGTGGACAGGAGATCGAGAGGAAGGACGAGGAAGGGCAGCGAGAGAAATGGGAGCGATGAAGAGCAAAGGAAAGCGAGAGCACGGGAACAAGCGGCAGAGAGCATGTGTGGGGGGACAACGAGCGGCAGAGAGAGCAGGCACGTGCGCGGGAACAAGAATGAACCAGACAGCATCGTGAATTGGTGAAAACACACGGTGAACCAAAATGCACTTCAGGTGAAACTTTGGCCATTTGAATTCAGTCACCCTGGGCATGTGAGCAAAAGAAGAGATATAAGGAAAAGGGAAGAAGTGCTTACCACAGCCGGGTCTTTACTCTTTAGTGGAGGAGGAGGAGTGCTACTAGTGGAAACTAAGGAACTGGGACTATTCACTTGGTTCTTCCTCCTCATATGCAGTTTGTCTAATCCATTTTCATGTGTTGCTTGAGAAGGACTGCTGTGAGGCGATGAAGGTTCCTAAAATAGGCAACACTGCATTGTTAATCTACAGGAGTGAAGGACGTCTGATTTATAAAAAAAAAACTTGCAACCTCAGTCTGTACAGATTGGAATGACCTTAACTGAGCCATTGGTAACAGTACTATAATGGACAACAATGCATATTGACTTGGTGGGGAGAGCAAGTAACAATGTGAAAGGGGAAGAAAGGAGAGACAGACATAGACAGACACAGATTGACTCCTAATGAAAGGTTTCTGTCTAACAATTCTGCACTGTGATCCTAGCCACTTGAAAAGCAAGTTGTCTCTCACCATCAATATCCACACCATTGTTTAGAGACGTAAAGATAGAAACAAATCCCACCATAAGACAGTGTCTTCTACCCAGAAAGGCGAGCACAGGAAAATGGAGGGGCTCTCTCACAAGACTTCCCAGGAAACACAGCAATGTGCTAGGGCCAAGATGAAGAGCTGCTGTTTAGGAACAAGAGGGCAAGGAAGAAGGGTAAGAAATGAAAAGGTTTTGGGCTGGGATTGCCTTAGTGTTACACTCCTGATATCTCCTGGGGATTGGCTGGGAAGCCTGTCAGAAACTGGGATTTGGTTTCTCAGGAGATTCCCGGCCTATGGTCCCAGTGCTTGACTGCACCAAGGGAAGGAATCGAAGCACACTAAGGACAGGCCTCAACTTACAGTCCTGCCCTGACCTATTCTCCAACTCATTGTCAATCTGAGCCAAATTTCAGTGAAACACGGAACATTTTTTTTTGACATCAACTTTAGTTGCAACAGTAGTCAGCATGTATAAGGACAAAGAACATGTAGAACTGAAATCGGTTTTGGGCTAAGACTCGAGTTAGGGTGACGGTAGGATAGGATTGGAATGTAGCAGATGGGTCAGCAGCCTTTTGGAATAGGCCAGGCCTACTTTGAGTGGGGAAGCCTGTGTGATTGTGACGTTGCACTGGAAAGAAATTGGTTGCACAAGAGAAGTAGACAGCATCACTACAGTTTAACTGACATTGATTAGGCTTTTAATAAACACATTTCCTAAAGGCATGAGGTAACTTGGAGCTAGCGTTTTTTTTAAGTAAAAACTGTGAGAACCATCAAAGCTTTTTCATTTATTTTATAAACAGTACCTTAACCTGTACTCTTAGTTGGAGACCAAGAAGGAAAAATGCAGTTAAGATAAATTAAGGAAACTATTTTAAATGATTTGACATTGTTTTTGTTGGTAGATTTTGTTCCTTGTTCACAGTTGGTCTGATTTGTTGCCATTTTAGGAATACCCAAGTTAAACAAAGTGCAACTCCAGAACATGACAGCATTTTTGTTTTTATACACAAGCATCAAAAATGAAGGCAAAATGGGTTGCCACAAAGCTCTTAAAATGGTAAAGCCCTGGTCTTGCAAACAGTTAACTGACCTCATTAGAAACATCAACCACAAGATTATCATCACTCTTGTCTTCATCACTGTCCTGTTAACAAGGGGGAAAGAAAAATGTTACAACTCTTTTACTGGACGTACTTGGCCGATGTTCCTGCTACTTCTATCCTGCAGCAATCAATTAAAATACAGCACATTGTGCAATACAAAACAGATCAATAACTGACCTCGGTCATCACGAACAAATAGTATAATGGTTACATTTAAATCAAGTACGAGTGTGATGCTATCCGTTTGGGCAAAAAAGAACAAAAGACAACTTCTTTAAATGGAAATAAACATCAAAATGCTTCAGTGCAGAGGGATCTGGGTGTCCTTGTGCATGAATTGCAGAAAACTCATATGCAAGTACAGCAGGTAACAGGGAAGGCAAATGGAATTTTATTAGCATTTATTGCTAAAGGAGTGGAGCATTAAAAATAGGGAAGTATTGCTGCAACAGTACAAGGCATTGGCAAGGCCGCAACTGGAGTACTGTGTACAGTTTTAGTCTCCTTACTCGAGGAAGAATGCAGTTCAGAGAAGATTAATTCCACAGATGAACGGTTTGTTTAACGAGGATAGATTGAGAAGTTTAGGCCTATAATTGCTTGACTTTAGAAGAATGAGAGATTGAACTATATATATGATGCTAAAGGGGATTGACAAAGTAGACAGAGAGGCGATGTTTCTCCTTGTGGGGCAATCTAGAACAAGAGGTCATAATTTTAGGTGAAGGTGTAGTAACTTTAAAACAGAGATGAAGGGCAATTACTCCTCTCAAAGGACTGTGAGCCTGTGGAATTCACTCCCGCAGATTGCAGAAGATGCTGGGACACTGGATAAATTAAAGGAGGAGATAAACAGATTTTTAATTAGTAACCGGTTAAAGGGTCATTGGGAACAGGTAGGAAAGTGGAATGAGGCCCAGATGATATGCCCATTGATTATATGAAATGCCAGAGCAGCCTCAAAGTGCTGAATCATGCCTACTCGCGCTCCTAGATCTTACGTTGGTAAGTAGAACATTAAGGACTTCAGTTGAAGCCCTGTGGTGTGTTCCCCCTGTATTTGATCAAAAGAAGAATGTACTCTGGAAGAAACACAAGAACAGGAGGAGGCCATTCATCCCACTGAGCCTACTCCACCATTTAATATATCACGGTCGCTCAGAAACTTCAATACCTTTTACCCATGCAATCCCTGTATCCCTTCAGACTGATTATCAAAAACTTATCAACTTCAACCTTAAACATACTCAGAAACACAGCTTCCACAGCCCTCTAGGGTGGAGAATTCTACGGACTGATTACCCTCTGAGTAAAGAAAACAAAAATTGCTTCCCATCTCAGTTCTAAAAGACAACCCCCTTATTTTTAAATTGCGTCCCCTGGTTCTAGACTCCCCAACCAGGGAGTCATTTTGGTCATCTAGTTACACAAGTTTTAAAAATCACACCAAAGAAGTACAAAGCCTACGCTGAGCTGTGACAGTCCCTGTGGGTCAATGCAGTTTGCTGAGTACAGTCTTCACTCAGCAAGTCTGGTCACTTAGTAGATGCTAATGTCAGGCGTAGTATTGTGATCATGTACGGAATAACATTTATAAGATGACAGGTAGAAAAAGGAATGTGAGAGAAGAAAGACTTGTTAATTAAGTTTGGACATCTCAACTATTAAGGGAGACTTCTGAACTACTGGAAAGAATATGTAGCTCTCAAAAGCACCCACAGAAACAGTCTGAGCGCAACTAGATACAAAATAAGGAATCAATATTGCAGTCCCAAAAATGAAAGGGAATGCACGATTATAAGAATAAAAGGGAAAAGTATAGAAATCTATCAAAAGATTTCTAATCTATTAGTTGTATTTATTTGGCTGGCACGTGCTAACTTGATGACAGTTCAGCTAATACACAACCTCTTAAAATGCCAACTTCAGTAATGCTACCTGTGACTCCACTTTCAAGGAGCTATGAACCTGCACTCCAGGGTCTCTTTGTTCAGCAACACTCCCCAGGACCTTACCATTACGTGCATAAGCCCTGCCCTGATTTACCATTGCAAAATTCAGCACCTCACATTTATCTAAATTAGACTCCTCCTGTCACTCCTTGGCCTATTGGCCCACCTGATCAAGATGCTGTTGTACTCTGAGGTAACCTTCTTCTCTGTCCACTACACTTCCAACTTTGGTGTCATCTGCAAACTTATTAACCATACCTCATAAGATCTCCATATCGAAAAGCAGTGGACCCAGCACTGATCCTTCTCTGTCCAGCCCAATTTGCTTTCGTTTCGCAACCACCAGCTTACCACAGGATTTTCCATGTTAACTGTGTTACACACCTACATCTAGACGCGCACACACACACACACACACACACACACACACACACACACACACACACACACCAGGGCACAGCTAATTAATAACAGCGGGGCAGTCTCCACCTTAACCGTCTAACCGTTAGGGCACTGCGTCAGCATTTAGATCAAACTATTTCACCCGGATATTAACTAACAGCTTTTGTCTTTAAAACACAGGATGTGTGTGTTACTGCCTTTTATTGCCCACTCCGATTTGATCTTGAGTTGCTGGTGGTGAGCTGCCTGCTCGGGCTGCTGCAGTTCATGTGCTGTGGGTACATGAAGGGAGTTCCTGGATTTTGACCCAATGACAGTGAAGGAAAAGCAATATTGTTTCCAAGTCAGCATGGTGTGTGTTACGTTCTGTCTTATACCCTAAGGCATGCTTACATCATTTTATCATGGCAGTTTTTTTGAAAAGGTAACGAAAAGGACTGATGGCAGCAGAGCAAGTGGACGTGATCTATATGGATCTCAGTAAGGCGTTCGACAAGGTTCCAAATGGTAGACTGGTTAGCAAGGTCAGATCACATGCAACGCAGGGAGAACAAGCCATTTGGAAATAGAACTGGCTCGAAGGTAGAAGAAGGTGGAGGGTTGGTATTCAGACTGGATGCCTGTGACCAGCGGTGTGCCACAAGGATTAGTGCTGGGTCCACTGCTTTTCGATATGGAGATCTTATGAGGTATGGTTAATAAGTTTGCAGATGACACCAAAATTGGAAGTGTAGTGGACAGAGAAGAAGGTTACCTCAGAGTACAACAGCATCTTGATCAGGTGGGCCAATAGGCCAAGGAGTGACAGGAGGAGTCTAATTTAGATAAATGTGAGGTGCTGAATTTTGCAATGGTAAATCAGGGCAGGGCTTATGCACGTAATGGTAAGGTCCTGGGGAGTGTTGCTGAACAAAGAGACCCTGGAGTGCAGGTTCATAGCTCCTTGAAAGTGGAGTCACAGGTAGATAGGATAATGAAGAATGTGTTTGGGATGCTTGCCTTTATGGGTCAGTGCACTGAGTATAGGAGTTGGGAGGTCATGTTGTGGCTGTACAGGACATTGTTTCAGCCACATTTGGAATACTGCACTCAGTTTTGGTCTCCCTGCTTACAGGAAGGACGTTGTGAAACTTGAAAGGGTCCAGAAAAGATTTACAAGGATGTTGCCGGGGTTGGAGTGTTTGAACTATAGGGAGAGGCTGAATAGACTGGGGTTATTTTCCCTGCAGTGAAGTCTGAAGGGTGAACTTATAGAGATTTATAAAATCATGAGGGGCATGGACAGGGTAAATAGACCAGGTCTTTTTCCCAGGGTAGGGGAGTCCAGAACAAGAGGACATAGGTTTAAGGTGAGAGGGGAAAGATTTAAAAGAGACCTAAGGGGCACCTTTTTCACACAGAGGGTGGTGTGTGCATGGAATGAGCTGCCAGAGGACGTGGTGGAGGCTGGTACAATGACAACATTTAAAAGCCATCTGGATGGGGATATGAATAAGAAGGGTTTAGAGCGATATGGGCCAAATGCTGGCAAATGGGACTAGATTAATTTAGGCTATCTGGTCGGCATGGACGAGTTGGACTGAAGGGTCTGTTTCCATGCTGTACATCTCTATGACTCTATGACACGACCTGAATGCGTAAAGGCCTCAGGTTTCATCTTACCTCCACTTATTTAAACATCGACACTCTATTGGAAGCATGCTCCGCTTTGTAACCAACCAGCTTGATGTTAGCCCAGACACTTGTGTGCCTGAGAAATAAAATGTCTGCATACAACTGTTAATTGTAACAGTTGTCTGTTGAATAATACCCACACCCAGATTCTTGCGTCAGGGCAGCTAACAATCATTGCTAATCAGGTTAAACATCTTGCTGCAGGCAAACTCACCAGAGCATGTGGATCAGAAGGGAACATGGAAGTAGTTAGTGGTGCTCCCATGTATTTGTTACCTTTGTCTCTCCAGGTGGGAGAGGGTGCTGCTTTAGGAAGCATTGTCGGTAAAGCCTTGGTGAATTGTTGACATACCTCATCAGCTGTAAACAGTTTTGGGATATCCAGTGGTTGTGAAAAGTTCAATAATAAGATAAAGGTCTTTCTTTCCAGTTCCCAACTTGACTTTATCCTAGTCACAGAAAAACACTCCCCGTGGCACCAGTGCTAATCTAGCCTTCCTCACACATGGGGGAGGTGATGGCCTCATGGTATTATTGCTGGACTGTGAATCCAGAGACCCAGACAATGTTCTAGGGACCTGGGTTTGAATCCCGCCACGGCAGATGGTGGAATTTGAATTCAATAAATATCTGGAATTAAGAATCTAATGATGATCACAAATCCATTGCTGATTGTTGGCAAAATCATTCTGGTTCACTAACTTCCATTAGGGAAGGAAACTGCCATCCTTACCTGGTCTGGTCTACATGTGACTCCAGACCCACAGCAATGTGGTTGACTCTTACCCGCCCTCTGGTCCATTAGGGATGGGCAATAAATGCTGCCTAGCCGGTGATTCCCACATCCCGTGAAATGAATAAAGAAAGAAAAAACCACACATGTATCTTCTTCAAGCAATCCGGCCAATATTGAGCCAGGTTGTAGACAACTTGATTTTCTTTATCGTTTTAGCTCCATTGGCATGTCAGGTCAGAATGATTGAACTCATTTCCTGTGCCTTCTGTTGTACTAC